CATTCTGTCTGCCATCGACTGGGTCAAACATCCAGAAAGGTAAGCATTCCAAAACAAACCCCTATTCTGGTAAAAATTGCCACCAAAAGCCGAACTAGTGGATAGAACTCCCCAAAAGAAAACAAGCAAACAAGTATGACGTCACACGTCATGTGCCTCTGTCTGCACAGCTCCCCCCTCCCCTGGAGGGGGAAGGGGGCGCCCCAGATCTCTCACGCCGGCTATCCACCCATCAGTTCTTCGTCTGATGCTAAAGGCACTGGTTGTGTGCTCCGGCTCCTGTGGTTGTTTCAGCACTGTGCCTAGAGTGTGGTGTCTGTCTTCTAGGTGGTGTGTGAGTCGGAAGTGAGTCTCCAGTACTCAGGCTGCATGCGCATAGGGCTGCCTTCCCTAGGTGCCCTGTAAGTACTGCCCTTAGGGCTTGGGGTTACCTTCCACAAGTTCCTTGGGTCCTGCTTCTGCTAGGCTGTCTACTTTTTGGTTTTCGGCCGCCCTTTGTGTGATGGGGGGGTTCTGTCTCCCTTGTTCGCCTTAGAGTAAGGGGCAGTTTGCACTGGTAGGGGCGCATGGTGCTGAGCAGCTTGTTTTCACCAATCATAGCGGCCAGCTCTGTTCCGCCTGGATATGCTGTCCTCTTGCGGGGGTTTTCTTTTCCTTCCAGGGTAGCGACAGGGCATTCGAGCCTGTTCCTCCAGCTGTTTTGTATGAGTCTGCCAGTGGGCTCCCTTCCTTTGTGTTTTTCATGGCTGCTCCAGTTTTTCTTGAGGCTGGGGCTTTGGGGGGACAGCTCGGCCCCGGGGCCTGCCATGTGGGTTCCCGGGTCTGGGGAAGGGCTGACTTGGGGGGCCTCTGGCCCCATTGGAACCCGCCGGGGTTTTTTCTACCCTCTGGGCGGGGCTTGTGGTTGTACGAAGTGATTTTTTTTCTTCCCCACTCTCCGCACGAGTTGTTGGGTGTCGGCCCTTCCCCGGGCTCGGTTCCTTGTCCCTTACGCCCGTTAGTTCCATCCTGTCGGTGGGTGCTCGTCTCTGTTGTTCCCTCCTCTTAACTTGAGATGGGACTGCTCCGTCATGTTCCCCTCTTTTTGAGGTTCTGCATGCCATTCAGTCTCGGATGCGACTGGGTTTTTCAGTGCCTTCGTCGTTCATGCTTGCTTCTGTGTTCTCGAAGGCTCAGGATGGTTTTTGCTCCTTCCCGTATTAGTGGTTCGCCTGTCATCTGCCGGTGCGGCTTCCCTCCGGTCCTTTTTAGGGCTTGTTGGTTCTCTTCCAGCCTTCCTCTTGAGTTTTTGGCCCTGTCTCGTTCTTTTGTTCATGTGTCTTCTCTCCGTGCTGTGTCTTGGCACTGCTCGTTTTCCTTCCATACTCCTGGTCCGAGATGCCAGGTTGGGCTGCTTGTAGCCCAATTGGGCTACTGGTGGCCTGGTTGGATTCCGTTTGGTTCATTGGTTTCCTTAATGAGCCGGCTATGTGTGTCGTTGCTTACTCCTTTTTTCAATATTTGGCTTCTGTTCCCATGCGTTGGGCTGTTTCTTCTCTTCAGTGAATCGCCCGGGATACGTCCTGTTGGGCTACTTTTCATTCATGTCCTGTGCATGCGCCGTGGGAGTTTGTTTTGGTTTGGACGGTGTGCACCAGTGCTGGGGTTCTCCGTCCATTTTCTCTAGAGTGCTTTGCCTCTCGCTCGTCTCATTCTTCAGTCCGTGCCCAGCTGCTCCTCGGGGTGTTCTGGGGTGCTGCTATGGGAAGGACGTCAGGTTTTCCCTGCGTTTTAGGTAGTGGGCACCTCCGTCGCCTCTCCCCTCCTCTTCTGCATGGGCGGCTCTGGCCTGCTTCCGCAGGTGGTGCACCCGGTTCTCGGCTGCGGGTGCACGATATCCTGGCCGCCTTAGGCGGCACTGGCCTTGTGACATTGTCTTGACCCTTCTGTGCCACTGTTCTGCAGGCAAGTTTATACGGTCTGGTGTCTCCTTCATCAAGGCACTGGTTCGTTTTTGAGGGTACGAATGGGAGTACATACGTACATGAGTACATGGACCATACTAACAGGGGTGCCTGCAGCAGGCCTATTGGCCCATACGTGGCAGCTCTTGTTCCTAACCTCCCGATTCGGACGTCAACATGCAGGTAACTGCAGGAGGCCGCCTCGCCCCACGAGGTGGCTTCTGACTGTGCCCATCCAGTCCCTCTCCTATGCATGTCCACCCATGCGAGCTTGGGGAGTAGATGAACTCCCAGAACCCCATCAAGCAGGTTTCATGCATGTGTTCGGGGCCCCACCTCCACCGTGTTTCTCGGTGTGTAAGTTGTGGTGCCTGGTGTGTGGTACATGTTCCCGTGTCGAGGGTGTTTTGTGGTAACATTTTGCTGCAGTTTTGATACTGCGGTTGCGTGTTGGAGTGAGCTTGTGGCGTTTTGTTCGGCCCTTCCGTGCTTCTTCCCAGGGCCTTCCTTGTTTGGGTTATTTGTTCCCATGCTTTCTGGGTCCCTCATTCCTTGCCGGTCTTGCTGTACCTGGCTTAGCTTTTCCATGTACATTCAAATTGAAGTTCAGATGTTTATTCAGGTAATGTACATACTTACAAGGTGAGATACAAACATTGATGGAACATTGGATTCTCTGTTCTCCCCTAGTTGTCCTCCCCTAGTTGTGCTTGTTGGGGTTGGGCTTTGGCTCTTGGTCCCGCCTCTCCGCTGTCGGTCGCTTAGTGTGCGGGTTCCTGGGCCTGCTGGGCTCTTTAGTATCTACGTTTGACCCTGTCTGGAGTCAGGCTCCGCCATTCTCTGCCTTCACCGCGAGACATTCCTTTCGGTTGCATGTTGCATGTTACATGTTTCATGTTGCCTGTTGCATGTTACATGTGGTGCATGTTGCTGGTGCGCATGTGCATTGGTAACGTGTGCCACGGTGACATATGGTACTTGTTACTGTGTCGGGATATTGTGGGGTGACATTTTGCTGTAGTTTTGTGCCTGGGGTTGCGCTTTGGCTCTTTCGTCCTGCCTCTCCCCCTGTTGCTTCCCTGATATCTCCTGGGCTCTGTAAGGTCTGCACTTGCAGCTGTGTGTGGGGTCCGGTTCCACCACTTCCCTTCCTTGTGCGTCTCCTTCACGCTGTTGTGTGTTTTGTTTGTGCCTTTTGGCCTTCCTGTTGCCAGGTTTGGGTTCCTGTTTTCCTGGCTTGCCCTGCCTGTGAGCTTTTTCGGGGTCTCGCGTCGGGCTCCTAGTTTCCGGTCTCCTGGCGAGCTCGCTCGCTTTGGGGGGTTTTCTGTTCGACAGACATTCCATTTCCATCTTTGCCGGCTTGGGTTTCCGGCTCTGCTTCCTCGGTGGTCGCGCCCGAGATCTTCACGCGGCTCCGCCTCTTCCTAGGCTTGGATGAACCTTGACGGGGCTGGTTGGGTTCTGCCTCGAGTGTCTCACCTTTGGTAGATGGTTGGGTGGCTTTGTAGTTGGTGTTCCACCTGTGTGCTTTTCTTGGTGGCAGTATGGGGTAATTTGGCGGTCCTTCCTTTTCCTTCTGTCCCTTCTTAGATGGCTGCGTTTGTTGGCATTGGCTTGGCTTTTCTGTTGGGGGTTGGGGGCCGTTGATTTGCCGCATAATGTCTCCTCGTTTTGTGCGGCGCTGGCGAAGCCGCTTCGGCTTTTTTTCAGTCTTGGTGTTACATCTGCGCCGTGCGTAGTCTGTCTCGTGCGTTGTTTCACCTCCGGCCTGTTCTTGCGCCACTTGGGCCGTCCTGGTCTCTGAACAGCATACTCTTTCTTCTCCTCGGTTGGTGGTGGCCCCTTCGGTTCGGGTTTGTTTTGACGGCTCTTTTCCTGTTGGCGTTTGCCTCTAGGGCTCGGGTCGCTGGGTTTCTTGCTCTCCTTCGGTCATGGTGTTTGGTTTGTTCAGATACAGCCGTCTCCCTCTTTTCTGGCACGGGGTGAGGCTGCAGCGTTCTGGGGGGGTCCTTGGTTGGTCGGGCCGGGGGGGTGTTGTGTTTTGTGTTCAGTTATGGCCCTTCCCTGTTCTTTGCACGCCACGGCTTCTGTGTTCTGGGCACGCTTTCAGTTGATCCAGTTCCGTTCTTCCCTGTTTGCGGGAGAAGGTGTCCCGGGTCGTCCGCCGCGTTATGGCGGCTAACCAGCCTGTGTTCTTTGCCTGTGGCATTCGTGGTTTCGCTGCTCTTGCTGCCGTCTTGGCTGCGTGTCCTTGCTGACTTTGGGCACGGGGCTTTTTGGCAGTCGTACAGGGGCCTGGCTGCTCGTTGTCTCGTGTCGTTCCCGAGCTCGTTCGGGCCTGTGTCGCCTAGGGTTGGCGGTTGCAGCCAGTTGTCTCACTTTCCGTTGAGGGGTGCGTGGTGTTCGCCTCCTGGGTCCGACCCTTTGACCTTCCCCTGTGGGTAGTTAGCTCTGGGGAGCTGACGGGGATCCCCCCAGAAAACCATCGTTGAATGTAATGAAACATCATTTTCTGGGTGAGACCTGGAGGCTCCCCAGCAACCCACCCACCCTCCGGTCGGCGTTTTTTCGCATGTTTTGACATCCAGCCTCAGAACTGATGGGTGGATAGCTGGCATGAGAGGTCTGGGGCTCCCCCTTCCTCCACCTGGGAAGGGGGGAGCTGTGCAGACAGAGGCGCGGTGCCGTGTGACGTCATACTTGTTTGCTTGTTTTCTGTTGGGGAGTTCTATCCACTAGTTAGAACTAGGCTTTTGGTTTTGCAATTTTTACCAGAATAGGGGTTTGTTTTGGGATGCTTACCTTTCTGGATGTTTGACCCGGTCGATGGCAGACATAAAATGCTTCCAACCACACGGGGGTTTCTATAGGCCATTGCTCCCCTTGCTTTTCTGAGGGGGCCAGGTTCTGGCCGTGGTCCCCGGTAGGCCCTAAGAACTCCATACCCATGACTGATGCCAAAGTCTGACTTTAGCATATCAGCCTGGTATAGCTCTGGGAAGCCACCGAGTCTCACCCAGAAAATGGCGTTTCATTACATTCAATGCTGGTTTTGCGAAAAGAAATACGATAAGTGCAGTGAGGGGCAGGACAACTCAAACCACCTGCCGGACTTGAATACGAACTTGGCCTCGGGCTACGAGGCAAGCAACGTTAATACCAACTTATTGACCTCGGCCAGTGTAACAACCAATGTTAATACCAGTTTGTTAACTTCGGCCAGTGCAACAACCAACGTTAATACCAACTTGTTGACCTCAGCCAGTGCAACAACCAACGTTAATTCCAACTTGTTGACCTCGGCCAGTGCAACAACCAACGTTAATACCAACTTGTTGACCTCGGCCAGTGCAACAACCAATGTTAATACCAACTTGTTGACCTCGGCCAGTGCAACAACCAACGTTAATTCCAACTTGTTGACCTCGGCCAGTGCAACAACCAACGTTAATACCAACTTGTTGACCTCGGCCAGTGCAGCAACCAACGTTAATACCAACTTGTTGACCTCGGCCAGTGCAACAACCAACGTTAATACCAACTTGTTGACCTCGGCCAGTGCAACAACCAACGTTAATACCAACTTGTTGACCTCGGCCAGTGCAACAACCAATGCTAATACCAACTTAACCTTGGTCAATGCAACAACCAATGTTAATATCAACTTGATGGTGTCGTGCAACGCAGCAACAAAGTTTGGCCAGGTGAGAGTTTTTAAGTTTACAAGATTTCTTCCTCTAAAAAAAAAATTGTCTTTTCTGTGGGGAGCCCCTACGGCTCCCTGGAGCTTATTGGGCTAATGTATGTTATATTAGACCGGAACATTAGCTAAGGAGTTCAGACCTACCAGGGACCAGCGCTAGAACCTGGCCCCTTCAGAGAGGTTTTAGGGAGCAATGGCCCTGGAAAACCCCCTTGTGGCTGGGGTTTTCCTTATCCGCTTGACCGGGGTTTGCACCCAGAAAGGTAGGCATGACAAAACAAACCCCACATGGTAAAAACTAAAACAAAAACCGAACAGAGAGGTAGAAACTAACTACAATCCCAAAGAAACAAGCAAACATCACACTTTACTGCCGTGCCGATCGTCCGCGCAGCCCTCCCCGCCCCGAGAGGGGAAGGGGGGAGCCCCGGACCTACCGCGCCAGCTGCTTAGCATTAGTTCGGAAGCTACTCTTCAACCAACGCGAAAATAACGCCGACCGGTGGGAGATAGGGTTGCCAGGGAGCCTCCGGGATTCTCTTCACTCCCTCCTTGTAGGAATTGGATTTAGCATCTACACCACCCCGGGTTCGGTTCCATGATCCTGTGGGTTCCTTGGTCCCGTGCTTCCGGAGGTTTTCGGCTTCCCGCATCCCTTCTCATGTGGTGCGGGAGGCCCTTGCGGCTTACCTCCTGCGTGACCTGGATTCTGCTTTTGTACTGGATCAGTGTTCCTTTGTGTATGGATCTTCGTGTCCGTACAGGATTCGTTATGAAGTTCTGGAGTCATTCTGGTTGGCAGACTGCCAGCTCTTCTCGTTGGCGGCTTGGCACACGTTCTGTCGGTCCCCGTGCGCTTGCATGGAGGGGGGGCTCATACGGCAATACAGGTTTTCCTGGAGGGCATTTTTGAGCATCTCCTTCCCTGCATGTTCGCCCCGGCCCTTCCATGGGTTGTGGGCATAATGCAGCTTCGTGTGCAGGTTCCTTCCCTTTTGGCTGCCTTGGTCGCAGGGGATTTGCGTACATGTGGCCTGCTGACTTCGGCCCTGACTTCATTTCTTCTCCCTCCTCGCACTGTCCTTGGATTGGCTTGCATTGGATGCAGAGGCATTTGGGGCCGCCTCTGGGTCTGGTGCGCTGCCCTCGGTGGTGCGAGCGTCGTCTTTATTGAAGCTGTTTGAGCCACTCTTGTAGGGTACGGTTTTGCGATTTATGTTTCTCGCTTCGCGTGTCGGCAGGTGGTGCTGGCTTCTTCCTTGGACTCCACTTGGGCCCTGGCTCTTAGATCGTCTTCGGTTTTTTGTCTGTTGCTGTTTGCAGTGTCTGCAGTTGCGCAGTGCTTGCAGGCAGCTTCGCCTCGTTTCTGTCCTGTGTTGGACTTGTTAGTCCTCTGGGGGCTTGTTGGGGACCTTCCTGGAAGGGTCGTGCCAGGAAGGGGTTCTTCCTGTCGTGGTAGGCTGGTGGTGCCAGATTCGGGGCTGGCGCAGCCTTCGATTCAGTCTTTTTCTGGTCGGCACGGGGGATTGCCATGTGCACCACTTAGGTTCTCGCAAGGTGCATCAGCCCTTTTGCGGTTTGTCCCGTTGACGGGGCGATGAAGAAGGCTCACTCTGTTTGCTCATGCCTGGTCCCACGATTTGTGGGACCGGAATTTGTGGGATTTTCATTGCCGGGACCGTGGCGGTTTGATAAGGTCCTTGGCTTTGGGGCTGGTCGCTTCTGGTGACTCGTCTGTTGAGTTCTTGGGGTTTGGCTTTGCTGGCAGTTCACGCTTGGGGGTGTCCAATGTTCTGGCGGACGGCCCGTCCCGGTTCATTCCCTTTCTACAGAATGTGCGGTCGACACCGACTCATTCAGTTGGCTATGCTGGACGTACGGTCTGGAAGAGGTCCGGAAGTGGACCTCTTCACGTTGGTGTATTCAAGGCGTCTTCTGGTATTCGGAGCGCCCTTTCTCGACTGCAAGGCTGTCAGGATTGATGTCTTCAGGCAGGACTGGGCGAGATGATGTTACCTGTACCTCTTTTCCCTGGTTCAGATGTTGCTCCAGGTCCTGGCTCGCTTGGAGACTTACCGGGGGTCAATTGTCCTTCCGGCTCCTTGGATCCGCTTGCTCGGTGTCTGAATCCGAGGGTTTTCCCGCGGCTCCACCTCTTTCAGCAGGTCGGTTCAGCCAGGTATGAGCCTGGTTCGTTCTTCTCCTCGAGTCTTCGCGTCTAGAGTTCTGACTCAAGTCTATCGTCACTTGTATGGGGCGCAGGTGGCTTTGTTGTTGGTCTCCCGCCTGCTTGCTTCGTCTCAGCGGCAGTATGAAGTTTCCTGGTGGTCCTTCCAGTTTTTCCTATCACTGCATAGGTATACCTTGGGCTCTGATAGGGTTGTCTTGTTCTTCCTTTCGTGATTGTTCCAGGACCATCATCTTATGCCGAATACTGTCGCCTCGCATCGTGCAGTGCTAGCAGAGCTGCTCCAGCTTGTGTTCGGTATTGATGTTACTTCTGCTCCATTCCACGGGCTGTCTCGTGCGTTGTTTCACGTCCGGTCAGCTCATGCTCTGCCTGAGCCGTCCTGGTCCTTGGACTGGGTGTGCTCTTTTCTCCCTTCTCCTCATCGGTTTGTAGTGGCCCCTTCAGTTCAGGATTGTTTTTCTGTGGCTCTTTTTCTTGATGGCATTGGCCTTTGGGGGTTGGGTCAGGGAGCTTCGTATTCTGCTCCAGTGCAGGGGTTTCTGCTCTTTTGGCCCTGATGGTAGGTTTGTTCGTTTGCAACCGTCTCCTTTTCTGGCAACGAATGAGTCTGCTGCTTTCAAGGGGTCCTTGGGTTGTTGATGTTGGTTAATCAGGCTAAGGATGCACCATGTGTTGTTTGGTTGCGGCTCTCCGCCGTTGTCTACACGTCATGGCTTCTGTGGCCGTGGATGCGCTTTGGGTTGTCCAGGTTCCCTTCCTTCCTTCTTATTATAGAGTTTGGGTTTCCCGGGTTGCCCTCAGGGTCCTACGGTTTTGCCGGTTGTCTTCTTTTTGTGTTAGGGCATGTGGTGTCTGCCTCCCGGGTCCTTCCCTCTTTTTCTTTATCTATGGTGAGGTAGCTCAGGAGAGCCAACAGGGCTCCCCCTAGAAAACCAGTGTTGAATGTAATGAAATTCCATTTTCTGGGTGAGACCCAGAGGCTCCCCTGCACCCTCCCTCCCTCAGGTTGGCAGTGTTTTCGTGTATTTTGACATCCAGCTTAAGAGCTGAAGGGTGGATCTCCGGTGTGAGAGTCTGAGGCTTCCTCTTCTCCCTCCCTGGGAGGGTTGCGCAGACAGTGGCGTGGCAGCGTGATGACGTCATGCTCGTTTGCAAATTTTTGTTTGAGGATTTCTGTCCACTTGTTCAGCTTTCAGTAGCAATATTTTTACCAGAATAGGGGTTTATTTTGGGGTGCCTATCTTTCTGGGTGCCAGACCCGGTCAATGGCAAACATTGAATGCTTCCAACCCCAAGGGGGTTTCTATTGGCCTTTGCTCCTTGTGCCTCTCTGAGTGGGCCATGTTCTGTCCCATGGTTTCTGATAGGCAAGAACTCCATGCACATTGACTGACGACAGAAAGCTAATATATCCATATCAGCCTGGATAGCTCCGGGAAGCCCCCAGGTCTCACCCAGAAAATGGTCTTTTCTGAGGGGGAGCCCCTTCAGCTCCCTGGAGCTTACTAGGCTGATATGCTAATATCAGACTTTGGCATCAGTCATGCATATGGAGTTCTGTGGGCCTACCGGGGACCATGAGCCGGAACCTGGCCCCCTCAGAGAGGCATGGGGAGCAATGGCCTATAGAAACCTCCGTGTGGTTAGAAGCATTCTATATCTGCCATCGACCGGGTCAGGCATCCAGAAAGGTAAGCATCCCAAAACAAACCCCTATTCTGGTGAAATTATTGCTACCAAAAGCCAAACAAGTGGATAGAACTTCCCTAAAAGAAATGAGCAAACGACCATGACGTCATGCCGGCTATCCACCCGTTAGTTCTAAGGCTGATGCTAGAGGCTGAGGTCATGTGCTCTGACTCCGGTGGTTGTGTCAGCACAATACCTAAAGTGTAGTGACTGTCTTCTAGGTGGTGCGTGAGCCGGGAGTTATTCTCCAGTACTCGGGTTGCATGCGTCTAGGGTTTCCTTCCCTAGGTGCCCTGTAAGAACTGCCCTTGGGGCTTGGGGTTACCTTCCACAAGTTCCTTGGGTTCTGCCCCTGCTAGGTCATTTACTACTTGGTTTTAGGCCGCCCTTTGTGTGCTAGGGTGTTCTGTCTCCCTTGTTCGCCTTGGGGTAGGGGCAGTTTGCACTGGTAGGGGCACAGGGTACTGTGCAGCTTGTTTTCACCAATCATAGCAGCTGGCTCTGTTCCGCCTGGGTACGCTGCCCTCTTGCGGGGTTTTCTTTTCTTTTTATTTGTCTGCCTAGTGGGGGGGGTCTGCCTTGGTTCTGCCCCCTGTGTACCCTTCCTTCTTCAGGTGATTTCCCCTGCTAGGTCCCCGTGAGTGTACACATCCCAGGGGGTTCAGTTCTTAGAAAGTTTTTTGGTATTTGTGGGCGCCGGTTAGCAGTACCCTGCCTGGGATTACCTGGGCGTGAGTCCCTGTAGGTAAATGCTCAGGACCCTGGGAAACCCCGAAGGGGCGTGTGGGGTCCGATGGATGTGGCCCCGGAGTCCTCCCCTCGCTTTGTGTGGTTCGAGGGTTGCTCTCTCCCCTTGTCTCAGGGTGACTCACTGTTTTACCTCCATCTGTTGCCTGTGGGGTCGGTGGCACCTTCGGCCCGGAGCCCTGCGAGTTTTGTTGCTTGTTTGCGGCTCGCTTACCCAGTCTTATGCTGACTATGTGGGTGCAGGCAGCACGGGCATTGCAAGCTGAGTTTCAGTGGTGTAACGCGCTAGGTCGTTTGCTACCCGGGAGCTCCGGGGCTGCCCCATTTTGGTTGGCGTGATGGGGCTTGGGGGTGTTGGACGCTTCGCTTTTGTT